CAGTTAGAAAGGGATATTTACACTTGCCATCATACTTAACCCAAAACACCTCTCTAAAGAAGAAAACCCAAAAATGTCCACAATCACTTTCAAAGGTGTGTTGCTCTGGTTCAGGAGCTCCTACTGACATTATCACTGGTAGAGTTTTCTCTCTCTGAGCCCAAACTATATCTTATTTTATTTCATTGCATGTCTCTCTTTATACAAGGCCCTTAGTATCTTATTATGTCTCAGTGCAAGAGGATGCATTAGAGAAATGGTGCTACACAAAGCATTTTTACCATGAATTTCTATGTGACTGCAATAAGCCCTGTTTATTTGCAATTGTACAACTTCTTCAAAATGTCTGCGTTTGCATCTCAGTGCAACAGTGTGTGTGTATACAAGTTAAATGGAGGACATCTGTGTGCGTTGTGGGGGATGCCTATGTGTAAACTGTTTAGATTAGACTGTATGGAGTCTGGCCTTGCACTTTCATCCGTCTTTTTCTTGATCTACACTTTGGCTCAGAGTCTTTCAATCCTATCTCCATCACTTCTCCACCAATGAATACAATACAGAGAGAATCATACAATGGTATGTTAGTAGGTTTTAGACCGCATGTGGCGCTATCATGAAAATTATGAGGTGATCACATTCATTATGAACATGCTACTTCCGAATACATAATCATTACTCATTCTTTGTATTTTTATTTTTTAATCCTAATCACCTAGTCATCCTTAAACAGTTTTGTTAGTGAATTGAAATGTTTGTTTTATAAAATGCTAAACAGTCCTTTGTGTCATTTGTGTGTGTGTATAACCACATCAAAAAAACAGAAGCAAAGCATTTTGTTGCTCTTCTTTGGTGTGCTGTCCAAGGATGCAGATTAAAATTATTTCACAGGCAACTCTATCAGCCATAAAAATGCCTCTGCAAAAGATATGTACTCGTTAAACAACACTGGCACTTAATCCTGCAGGTTTATCTATTCTGTCAAAGGTCAACACTTTCAGGATGGTTTGGAACTCTTGAACAAGTATTCACAGGTCAAAGTTCACTGAAGTTGAAATCTATACAAAAGAGCCATGTGAATGTACTTCCTAATTTCCTTCCTATTTTCCTCCAAGAGTGAATCCATGATTGTGGTGTTTTGTTTCTTATCTGCAGCCGTTGCAGTCATTTCCTTGTCCTGTCTCCATCTTCTTTGTTTTGTTAGTGTTTTTGTTTTCAGTGTACTGCAAAGCCATCAGCTGATCCTTACTGGGAGGTAACACTTATTCACAGTAAATTAGTAAAACAGAATTATTTTTGTGGCCTCATGAAAAACAGATCTTCACGTCTGGCAGTCATATGTTATTATAGCTAAGAATCACTTCCTGTTTTGTCAAAACTCTGTGTTAGTGTAACAGAGGAAGCTGGTATTTTCTAAATGTTCTGGATGTGAGCTGTTCAGCAGATTTTTAATGTCTTGTTGACTTTTCCATCTTTCATAAATGTAGCTGGCAACATGATGCTCAACTCTATCCATTAAAGTCATTATCCAAACAGGCAGTAGGACATTTGACTAATGGGACTAATTTTTCACTCAGCAAACCATGGGAGGAACTATGGAAAGTGTCTATATTGACTTTGTGACTAAGATGTTACATCCCCCCTCACTCAGCAACTGTACAGAGAACTTCCTGCGTGGCCACACTGGCCCTGATTGGCCTTTTCGGGCAGCAACAGGACGTGAACAGACGTATATCAGTCAACTGGAGGCTACCACTCCAAAGCTGTGGAACAATAAACATAACAGAGCAAATGCACTCTCACACACAGACACACACACAGAAGGGGAGACAATGTTGTTTTCCATGGAAACATCTCTTTGCTGTTGCAAGGACTGCTGCATACTTTATGTCACACATGACACAGACCCTGACCACTCTTACAGTGTAAGTAAACATACAGAAATACCATATTAGTGGTTCAGCTCCAGTTGTCTCTGCTTTGCACCTGTAACCACGTGCACATGGTGCATTAATTGTGCTACACTAAAGATGCAAATTTGACCTCTTTTCCACCAACGCTGCACCAGTGCTGGTAAAATGCTAGTTCTTTAATGATGTCTTTCTTTCAGAAGTTGTGGCAAATCATGCTGAACAGAATCTGTGGGCTACATCTGGTTAGTTTCTCATATATCATATCTTCTAGCCACTGAGGCAAATTGTTTTTTGGTGGAAACACACAAGAGATGGTTTTAGACTGGGAATTGGCATTGTGTCAGTCGAATATTTTGTCACAAATTAAATAAATTGTTTTCCATATATTCACCAGATAATCACTAACTTTTGTATTCCAAATTAATCAGCCTACAGACACCAAAGGCCAGTATAGACTAGACAGAGCATAAAGTAGTCATAAGAGTTTAATGGTAGTTCTACATCGTTATAACATTATTAAAAATGAGAAAACCTGTTCCATTTATCAATCAATCTATCAATCAGTCAATCGAATCTTTATTTTGAAAATATGAGTAATGATTGTAAATACATATAACAAAAATAAACATGAAATCGCTGAAAGCCATCCTATTAATGAGGAAATAAAGAAAAGCAAAAGTAAAATGTTACCCCAAAAATGTCTTGTTCAAAAAGCAGAAGGAGGAAGCATATGCTTATCAGTCCCTTCCCCTATTCAGCTCGTCCCAAATATATCTTTCATGATTATACAACCTAATGTATACGCATATACTATAAATAAATGTGCCTGTCTAATACACATTTTACATTCCAAAATCATCTAAGATGACTTCAAGTATGGCATCACATGTGTCTAATGAATTGTTGTCAACACTGTCTGCCGAATATGAGCCAAGTCCAGAAACACTGCCTCAGGAGACTGTGTAAGGTTCGGGAACTTATTCATTCAGCATTTTCTCACTATGTAAAACAGTCGCACACAGACAGCATTGAGAGGAAATGTGTTCCTCCTCCAACAATAAATACACAGTCGCACAAAAATTTCTGGTAACAGTTAAGGCTGCCCAAACTATGTTAGCAGGCTCATTTTCCACAAACTATTTAATGGCCTGGGAAAAAAATGACAACAACAACAACAACAACAATAAAAGCCTGTGTCTTTCTGTGTTCCCCATTCTGTTTGGACAAAAGCACAAATATTGGCATGAAATCAAACAGAACAACCATGACAGAGTCTTTGTTTTGTTTGTGTGTTTTTTACATAGGTCCTTCATTTCATATAGATAACTTTCACACACTTTCACCTGTAGTCAGGCTGATGTTTTTATTGTATCAACACCATGACTGTGGTTGGCAGAGGTGTGGACTCGAGTCACATGACTTGGACTCGAGTCAGACTCGAGTCATTAATTTTATGACTTTAGACTTGACTTGAAAAAATGTTCTAAGACTTGTGACTTGACTTGGACTTTTACACCAATGACTTGGGACTTGAATTGGACTTGAACCGGTTTACTTGAAAAGACTTGATATTTTACCCCAAATATAAAATTTAACATGCATATTATATAGAGATTGAAAATGTGACGTCATTCACGGGTAGAACCGCAAAGGATTCTGGGAACTCGTGGCAAGCGGTACTAGCGCACGCAGGCTTTCAATTAAAATCAGTCACACAGCGATAAAAAGAAACACAAAAATGTCAAGAAGCTGTTGTATCATTAACTGCAATAGCCGGTCGCATGACAGCCACGGGAAGCCGACGGGTAAAGAGATCGGTTGTTATCGGATTACGTCGTTGAAGAGAAATTGTTCGAGCCATGTTTCCGAAGTAACAAAGACGCGACTGGATTGCAGCCATTCTAAGACCAAATATAACGTCCCAGAACACTCCAGCTCACAGGTTAGTCTGCTCCAAGCATTTACACGAAGGTCAGTGTTTTTTAGTAGTTAATGCGTCATTTTCATAACATAATTGGTGATATAGGTTACAAGCAAGTCTGGCGCTGAACAGAAATTGTCGCGCTATGCTCCTTTATTTATTGTGCATAAATAGTGAATTGTCCTGACACAATATTGCGTTTCGCTTCTGTTATTATGGTACATTGACAAAAATATATACTTTTATTCACAGGATAAAACAGGTTTTTTGTATCACTAATTGCCCAGTACGATTACAGCATACAGTATTATTGTCACTGCTACATTTCTGTGATGCTACCAGAAATTATTTCCACTGCTAATTAATTACCGTTGAGCTCAAAGGTCCTATTAATAAACGGTTAAGGAATGTGTATTTATGACGACAATTTGTGAGACTGGTAAACTTATGATAGGTACGATGGTCTTTCGTTCTACACGGTGCATTTCAAGGTCCTGCACCCATCCGTCGGTAAACTGTACCTGGGCTTGTTGCAGTGACCGGAAGTTACTAAACTTCATGAGTGTATGCACTCACTCCAAGAACCGTATGATTATAAATATGCATATAAATATGCTACGATGAGATAGCTGACTTCATCTAACTAGCAAATTTTGTCCAGGCTACGTTGGTGATACAGTTTTTTTTAATGTGTATGATATTTTTGTCATGCGATTTTAAAGCTGGTCCTACAACCGCATCCAAGAATAACATGCAGCTTATCACAGAACTGTCGGTGAAAATTATTCTTGGAGCTAGGTTTAATTGAGCTGCATTTTAAAGAGGTGCAATTTCACAATTTGTGTATATTTTCTACGTTCACTTTTGTCATGTGTTGAGAAAAACACAGATTTTAAAATTACATGGTCTAATATTTACATTTAGCATAACTGCAACATTATTTTTTCATTTGTTTTTTTTTAAAGACTCGAAAGGACTTGAAATTCAAAGTTTCAGACTTGTGACTTGACTCGGACTTTTACACCAGTGACTTGAGACTCGACTCTGACTTGCCTGACATTACTTGAGACTTGACTTGAGACTTGAGGATAAAGACTTGAGACTTACTTGAGACTTGCAAAACAATGACTTGGTCCCACCTCTGGTGGTTGGACATTTATTAATATTGGACTCTGAAGTACAGATAATATGGAAATCACATAGATTTTTTTCACCATTACTTAAAAATATAAAACATGTGGTGCATGTTTTGTTTTTTTCTTTGCCTGGAAACCTTCAACATCATTTTAATGTTATGTTTCACTTTGGAAAAACAAAATGTTCAGATCTACAGCTTTGTTATTTGTTTTGTTTTTTATTAAACACATCAGTTTTTTTTGGTATTACAGAATGTTTCTGAACTGCATTACACAGTGTTTGTGTCAAGCAGCATCAGTTGAAGGCCACAGCAAACACAGCACACATCATTCAGACAAAATAAGAAGCAATCAGGGTAAAATGGCCATGACGTTATAATCTAAGGAGATAAAAGTCATCACACCATTTTCTGGGCAGTTTCAGGAGGCCTGTTGTTGACATCTGTAGCTCTCTCTCCCTCTCTCTCTCTCCATACATATAACTAAACACTGGCATAAAAGAGGGCAGGCATTGTATCCATACTGATACTTGCATTTCTACATTGGCTAACAACTTTTAATTTGGTAGGTTGTTAGCCACAAGCTGTGTTAGCTGCATGCTTTGACTTGACCTCTAGATGCCACTAAATCCTACACTCTGTCCTTCTGAAACATATGCAGGACTGGTGTATTAGCAAGCTTGAAAAGTAACATAACACCGCTCTTTTTTTTTTTACTCTTCTCACTACTGCAGTGTTGTACAAGTGCATACAGACAGCACTGATGGGTGTGGTTGCGGCTAAACACATTTGGGTATGATTGGACATGTTCTAAGCTTAAAACTTTCAACCAGAAGAGGGCGAATCACTGCTTTTCTGCTGTTAATTGACTTTTTATGGACAGGAACTGAAAAGCACTGCACTCATAGATATTGAATTTTGCATCACAAACAAGTTAATGTTGCTGTAATAGTGTTTATGGGAAAGTCATTATTTAGGATCACAATACAAATGGCATTTAAAAAAACCATACAAACAACCCTACAGTACATCTGGACAGAGTATAACACAGTGAAATTTACAGACACAAAACATGTTTCCCTTTGGTGATTAACTTTGCATAATATATTTTATATATACATATTGTACACACAAAGACTGACACACTAGTAAACAAAGACACTGAATGTTTAGTTGGTTTGATATAATAACCTAAATTAATACTTAAAAGAAATGTTACAGTGAATTTCAAATATGGAGTGTTGGGTCCAGAGCCATATATTGACAAAATCTGGTCAAGATTTTTATGACATTAAAGTATGAAAGCTGGACAAATTTAATGCAACACGTTTGCTATGGGGGATTGGTTCCTTAGAATATTTCTCTCATTTTGTCTCAAGTAGAAGTACTGCTAGGGATTAAAAAAAGCACTGGCACAGGAAGGAAATGACTAATAAAAGTGATGACTGAGGTGCCCTAGGGCACAGTGCTTTATCTCACACATGCATCAAAAATGTATGCAAGTGTTGCAGAGTGATGGTGAAATTTTTTTTTGTCTGTATATCACAACATAAATTGCCTGATTAATAGGCCAAACATCTGGGCAAAGATACCTGGTGACTTAATGTTAGCTCTGCAGCTGAAATTCCTGAAAAACATCTGGTTTCCTGGAAAACGTTTGACTGTACTTTTGGCAGTGATTCTCACTTTGCTGTCAGTTTTTGGGAGGTTTGTCTATGTATTTTGGCCAAAATGTGTTTTGATTTAAAACATTCAGTTTGCAATTTTTAACAATGTGCATCATAGCATTGCCATGCTGGATTTCAGCTGGCACAAAATTGCAAGTTAATGAGAGCACTTGTGGAAATATTACACCATTCGAACTGCACTGACTCATAAGTGAGTCAGTTATAAAGGCACCCTAAGGCGGGAAGATAAGAATAGACTTTAATTTGTCATTGCTGTCATAAAAATCAAAATAAGCTACCAATAATACTTTAAATGTAAGCGTCAACTATCTCTCTGACAGAGACACAAAATAAAACATGTTTTGGTTGGATATCTGCTTACTTCATATCACTGATACCAGTGTTACAGCAAGTAAACATCTATGCTGGTCATTGAGATTTTGTTAAACAACTGCACATTTGCTAAGGCTTAATGCATTTCTGTGTCTGTGGGGTTTTAGTTCAAGAATTCTCTAAACAATTAATTCAAATTCTTTATTTTTTGTTTAAAAAATGTGTTTTTTCTAATGGAGGTGAAAAACACAAAAACTAAACTAAACTGAAGAGCACTGCTTTTGGCTAACTTTCACTGTGTACCACTGACAATTTACAAACTGCCTTAAAAGTGTACACCTTTGAAGAATTTGACACAACAAACTGCACAGTTTGCTGCTAATCAAGGTTATGTTGTGAGTCATTAGCCATCCCAACAGCATAGTCATAGCATTGTTGTGCCTAGAGCCCTGCCTGACACAGTGGCTAGCATGGCTACACCAGAAGTGAGGTAGGTAAATGCTCACGTATCATCGTTAGTTCATGAAAATTGGTAAAAATAGAGTGGGAGAAGGGTTTTGAGTCAAAAGGTTTGATTTTCTTTTTTAATTTTAAGTTGTTCTGTTAAATAACCCATTCTCAAGGTACCACAAAGCAATCTGGTACTAACTCAGGTGATACTTTCACATTCACTTCCACAATTCCCCCTTTTCCCTCCCGAGACTCTGAAAGTGCACCAAACATGACTCTCATCCTGCCTTCACATAACTGTCCTCCTCTTACTCTTTTCCCTGGAACAGCCTGCCTTTAAATCCTTAGAGGGAGTAAACAATCCAGGATTTGTAGCAAACATTGGATCCTTACTTTATTTAAACTGAATGGAAGCAAAAACCTGATTTAATGGATTCACAAGAGCGTGTTCATAAAAGAGGATAGGTAGAATAGAATGAAAAAAAAACAAACAAACCTGGTTGTACTTTGTAACTTACTTGTTGCTAAACAATAGATGACAACTCTACAGCAGAAAATGATAATGTTTGAGGTTATTAAAATACTGTGTTGAATTCATGGATGAAACAGTGTCACAGGGTTTTGGTAGATTGCAAAACATGGAAAACAAGTGAATATAGGCAGGATTTCATTTTGGATGACATCTTTTGAAATATATATAACATTGGTAACAATATCCTGCTTTGAGCCTACACCACATCCATTTAAAGTTAAAGCTTCTGCCCGACAAATGGAGATGAAAATCAAAAACACTATGTTGTAAATCTGGGATCAGGTGAGTCAGCAACCAACAATAACATAAATGTAGGGTGTTAAGTTTGATACTTTTCATAATGATGGGGCTCTAGACGAGTAATAGTACAAACCTACCAGGCATAAAGTTAGGAAGATTGGATAAAGAGGATGGACTATACTGACAATACTCTACTTCACAGATTTTAAATAGTTCATATCATCTTTACCTGTGACAACACATTTAACACAAATGGAAATTAACAAACAAAATAATAACAGCCTATCAGAGTTCTCTTCAGCTCTGTCTTCAGAAAGCTTGAGTCTTTTCAGCTTTCATTCTAGTTGCCATATTCTTCTTCACATACACTCATTTACCTTCTCTCAGTCTGTAGCTCCTGTAGAGAATAATCCCTTCAAGATGGATTCATATCCAAGACACTGGGCTTTTTTTCTTTCTTTTTTTTTTTATACCACCGAATGTTCATTGTGGTGGTGATGGTGGTGCATGGTGCTGCCAGTCAGCACCGTGTGATTGATGGAAGATGCAGATCGGTCGGATCCCTCTGCTGCCGTCCCATTCACATTCTCCTGCCTCTGGCAGCACAAGATCTGCCTGAAGGTTGCGCTCATCTCCTTGTCACGGTAGGAGTAGATGATGGGATTCATGGCAGAGTTGAACTCGGCGAGTAGCAGGAAGAACTTTTCGTAGGTCAAGACATTGCAGCTAGCGCAGAAAACATCAAGGAGGAGGATGACCAAACCAGGGGTCCAGCAAATGATGAACGCACCTAAAAAAACACAAATTGTACATATTAGTTGAGGTAATTGACACGCCCATCAGAAAACCGAAGCCTACTCCATCCTTTCATACACTGCGCTACATAAATGGTAACTGGACTGGTACTGTTCTTAATTAATAATGCTTTTCTACTCAGAGTATTCAAAGCACTCTTTTTTATATAAGCCTCATTCATTCATTAACACACATTCATATAAGTCCTTTCTTTCTATTTCACTTTTACATTAAAATTCATACACTCACACTTTGATGCATCAGTGGATACTTGGGGTTCAGTATTTTGCCCAAGGGTACTTCGACATAAAGGTTGGGGGAGCTAGGGATTGAACCACCCACTAACTCCGGAGTAACAGCCACCTCATAATGGAATATAAACCTTAAAAGTAATCCACATCATAACTGTTTCTATTTTAAAATTGTCATAAGTATAATACTTACATACTTGGAGCTAACGTGTAATTTTGTGATATGTATGAAAGAAACCTTTTTGCCTTAGACTGAACAATTCAATACTATTTATTTTATTTACTCGTCTCTTCACATGAATCAAGCTGACTTCTTCCATTTTCTGGAAGTGGGTCACGTCAACTGAGTGTTTAGTTCCACAGATGATGACACTAAGATTCATCATATGATGACACCATGAATTTACAAAGTAATTTGTGTTTGTTTTAGGATTTTAAAATTGTAGCACATAGCAGTTTTTGATCGAAGTATGCAAGATTCATGTAAGTAACGGTCGTGACTCATGAGCAACATTTGGGAACTGATTACTTGGTTTGGGCTTTTGCTAACTTACACTTGAATAATAACGAGTCAATACAGGCAACTTGGAAATGGGTCCTTTTGGTGCTACATTAGAATTCATCCTACCACCTCTCATAATTCTAACAAAACACTATCAATCCACTAACAATGCAACATCCTGTGTTTGAATCAGATAGATATTTCCTTTTCCAATCACAGGGCCAGGGACCCCATTAAATTTGACGCATTGATTGCTTTTAGACCACCACTGAGGTCATCACACATCTATTTCTGCTGTTAATGTGGCGATATCAACTACATTATTTCCAAGAGTTATAGGTGTTGCCACTTATGCAAACCCTAATCATTAGTGCTGGTATAGCAGAAGAAGCTTTTGTCACAAAGTCCTGTTTTGTTTTTTTTATACTGTCGTAACATCTCCCTCAGGGCTTCTATACTGATATCAATACAATGGTGGTAAAAACCAGCGCAGTCACACATTCGTTTCCCTCTACAAACTGGCAGCAGCAGTGGCTGAGCATGGAAGGTTACAAAAACTGAGAGGTGCGCAACCCTATGACACTGTTTTTGTTGTACAGTGCCATTCGCGAAGTATAATAGTCCTCTAACACAGTACACTCCCTCACAAGCAAATGAGGCCCCAGCTCACTAGGATGTTTGAACCAGATACCTCCTTAATGTGAGGCAACAGTGGTAGACACTGCACTATGGCGTTGTTTTAGTGCCTCTCTATAATGAGCACACGTAACCCTCACTGATAGCCTTCCTGTCCTTTTTCTCAAATGTTTTTTGTGTATCTGTTGAAACAAATAACAATCACTCTACAACCACATTAGCATCACTTATGAAGCACACCACCATTAGTCAAGAAAACAAAGTACCAATATCTCTTTACGACCAAATGTAAGTAAAGAAAGGTTAATAAGGTCAAAAACCTCATTAAAAATTGATGAAAAATAACTTAGATTTAAGGGATTTGAATGACTGTGATAAATATTAAATATAAATAATAAATCAGCTATGCACTTTGTTCATTAAAGTGGACACTTCCCCGAGTAGATGAAATATGTTAGCGCAGTGGAATGGGTCACTGACATTACTCGTGCATGTCAAGTGCTGTGAATTCAGTCATCAGACAATATTTGTCCTAACTATACGACAACTATAGGACTTTCCACTTGGTAAAACAAAGAGTCTTGATGAGAAATGAGCAGAGTTGACAGAGAGAGAGCGAGAGCAAAAGCGAGAGAGTATTGACAGGAAGGTCTGTTATCTGTTAGTGTTGTGCAGGCGGCAGCTGCAGCGGAGCTTGACCTCACTTCCTAACTATGCAAGCGGACTCTCCAGAGTTGGATAAATTTCTCAAGCAGTTCATTGCCCAGCAGAGAAACTATTTCAACTATTTGTCTCTCAGTGAAACATCTTACTCGGAGCAGGACCAGACTCAGCACAAAAAATGCTCAGAGGAAGCATTTAGAATTTCCAGTCTGAAAAACAAGAGAAAAAAAAAACCTTGACTCTAACATTATGACTGCGACTGTATTTTCTGTTTTTACTGTCTTACTGTGTCAGTGTTGATGTAAACATTTATTATGCATCCAATCTATCTTAACCACAATCCACAATATGTTATTGTCGTAGTAGGGCAAAATCCATCACAATAATAAATGAAAAAATCTGATCACGTCCAGTGAAAAATATATAATAAAACACTATATGTGCATATATGTAAAGGAAATTTGTTTTATTTCCACTCAAAATGAGAAAGGAATGCCGTTTTGTGATTTTATGGCCTTCGAGGTTAACCCTCAAATTCTTTAATTTCCTTCCTGAATCCTAGAGTATATAATTACCTTCATTACTTATATTTATTGCAGAATTTCCTCTTTACCCCAAAAGAATATGGCTGGTTTACCATAGCCACAGTGTACAGTGTTACTACCATGCCAGGTTTACAGAGGGTAAACCAGAGTTTTGTTTATGGAAGCAACATGTGATTCTTTTTTCTTCTTTCTTTTTTTTTGCCCTGTCACTACTTAAAAATGCCACATGGAGGGAAAAGAGGCTGGAGAATGGAAAGTCACTGGAAGAAGGTAAATAAACACAGCTCTGAAGCAGGCCTGGAAAGTGTATGGAAACGTAGGAAAACTACTTTGGCACGCTCATTGTCTTATAAAAATAAGTAAGTACATAGAAATGTGTTAAGATGTGTGTGGCTATTGCAATGACAAACTACTATTGCAACAGTTTCATAAATGACACATTTTCCTATTAGTTTGTTAATGGCTCATGTGTCACTAGAATGCAGTAAATAAACCTTTAAAGGAATCGTTTTGCTGTCAAACCTGATAAAGAGCTTTAGGGGAGACATTTTTAGTTTGTGGAATGATTCTCAAGATTTACGTAACTCAAAGCAATTATTAGAAACAGCAGCGCACAATGGACTAACTGTGTCATTGCTCATGAACAACATATTAAAAATGTATTGCTTCAAGGGGTTTATAAAGACTGATCTGCAATTTTACTTCAACTGACTCTCAACACAAATATCTAATTAGCCAATCAAATGTCTTAAGGCATTTAGACATACAGACATGAGAACTAGCTAAACTTCAAACTGAGAAAGAAAGGTGATTTAAGAGAATTTGAACATGACATGGTTGTTGCCAGATGGGCCTGCACTCCCATAAATACAGTTTCTGAAATACTGGCCTGGTCTGAGTATTTATGAAACTGCTGCTCTACTGGGACTTTCCCACACAACCATCTTCAGGATTTATAGGGAATGGTCTGAAAAAGAGAAAATACCCATGGAGTGTCAGTTCTCTGGGCAAAAATATTTCACTGATGGCAGAGGTCAGAAGAGAATGGCCAGACTGCTTTGAGCAAAATAATCACATATTAGAACTAGAGATGGACCGATCCAATATTACGTATCGGTATCGGTCTGATACTGACCTAAATTACTGGATCGGATATCGGAGAAAAATAAAAAATGTAATCCGATCCATTAAATATCACGAAAGCACCTCACAAAACTTGCAACATGCCGTAACTCACCTCAGAACGTTAGCACGTCGGAGCAGTATGCATCACGTGATAGAGCGGCTGTGGCATGCGGGACCTGTCGGTGGTCTGGATAGCATTTGGAGCTTCGCTAGCAACCGGGCATTTCATCTCTGACAAAGTTATCCCGAGAGAAGTAAAGCAAGTGTGTAAGTCCATCTCTGAATGTTTGTAAAGCATTCCTGCGTTAAGCTTAACAAGCGATATATGGAGCGACTGCCTCTTCTTGCTGCTACTTCAATCATGAAACTGCTTAATGCTCAGCTGATCGGGTTTTCTGTCCAGTCCGTCTCTCTGGTTTGTTTTTGGCCCACTTTGCACCAGAAAGAGGAAACCAGCAGATAAACAGCAGCAGCACGTTTAAGCTTGTTAAGCTGTTGTTAGAATTTATTTAATATTACTTTCTACTCGAGGATCTTTTTCTACGTAGCTGAGGCTGGTAACCGTGCAGGGGCGGATCTAGCAAAGTTTAGCCAGGGGGGCCGATAGGGCATTAACAGGGAAAAGGGGGCACAAAGACATACTTTTCTTTCTTATTCTCATTTAAAATGTCTAGCTTTTAATAAATAATTATCCGAATCTTACACCCAAAGTTTTAATTTGATGTAAAATGAATAGAAGTCAATTACTGTATATAGTGACTATTAAGTCTAATATATATACCCTAGTAAGCTATAGTACTTTTTCCTTTGGGAAGGTACCATCTGTGCAGTCTGCAATTTTGTTGAAGAAAGATGTTGAATCTATTTAATATTTCTTGAAAAATAATTGATTTCTGTGCATTTTTTTTTTCATACTGCATCAAATTAAGGTTGATTACGTCGATTAAGCATCATGAGGTGGAGCGTGAGGGGTGGTTCCCCATTTTTTATTTATTTAATTTTGTTGTTGCTGGGAGTTGGAACCCTATTAGTTAGGTTGCTTAATATTTACGCTAAGTACTCTTTAAAATACCAGAATAGGGAGGATGGTGTAGGTTTAAGTTTATTAGATTGATCAGTATTGCTGAACTATGAAATATTTTTTTTTTTTTGCATACAGGTATAACAGAATAGCTTTAGTGTAGTTGTTGTTTTACACTTGAGTATGAACTTATACAAAATGCAGCAAGATATTTTAAAAAAAAACAGTTTTGTTGATTAAAAAACACTATAT